TTCATATTTAAATATTTTTAGTTTATCATTGTGTATTGCAGATACGAGTTCCAAACGAGGAGTCATAAAAGCAACACTCTCGTGACTCATTTCAACATCTTTTATGAGGCAAATTTGCTGGAAATTTTGCATTACTTTATCTAGCTGCGATAATAAACGAGTGGACGATCGACCGGAAGATGTTTCTATTTTTTAACTGTACGTGAAAATAATTAATAATCAAACCTTAAATGAGAAGGTAAAGTAAACTTATTCCTGATATCCGCGCGTCTGTCCCCAAACAATGGCGCGTCGACGGTCAGTACGAGAGCCTTGAATCCTGCATTTTCCGCTCTTTGTACCAAATTAAGCGTTATGTTTCGATCGGTGTAAACGTAAAGCTGATACCATTTTATAGTATTCGGAGCAGCTTGGCTGACTTCTTCGATGCTAGACGTCGACAACGTGGACAGCATAAAAACTGTCCCCGCCGCGCCAGTTGCTGAAAATCAAGAGAATTATTAACGTAAAAACATACCATCGATAAATCCGATTGTCATGTTATTTAAAAACGATTTTTCACTTGGAAATTGATAAAGGTATTCCTTTCCGATCAGAGAGTGCCGCATCTATACACGCAGAAAAAGAATTGGGTTCATTGAACAAAGTCATTCGATTGTTTTGCATTTTATTTGTTTCAGAGAACGTTTCGGTTGAGTGAACCCAATTTTATTTCCACTTGATCAAATTTATTTATGTCAATCAACTAAAATGTCTTGATTCATTCAAATTACTGATATTTGGTGTGGTCTACCACAACATTTGATGTAATCAACCAAAAGTTATGAACCAAAGAGTTTTGCCGTATCAACCAAATGTGTGGTTGTCCATAGAATAAACATATTTTATGGTTGAACCAAAAAAAAATTTACTGATTTAACTATATATTCGTAGAATCCCTATACGATTGAGAATATTTAAAATCTCTTTGTTGTCCTAATTTTTGCCTTGGCAATTTTTACCCTTGTTAAGGTGATACGAAAGGGTAATTCTATATATATATATAACGTCAAAATATTTATAAAACTTATCCCTAAACTGAGTGCACCGAATCATTTGAAACTTCAGTATGTGATTATGAACGCCCTAAGAAAGAACGCATCGCTCGCAAAATTTCATTTTTCACAAAAAAATAGTGATCTTGATTCTAATCTAGACTAAATAAAACAAATTTGTTTTAAAAATGAATTTTCACGAGCAGTGCGATTTTCTTTAGGACCTCCGTGATCACGTGTTAAGGTGAAGTGAAACACGTCGAGGAACTTGATCGACGTCGATAAAGAAGATTTTTCTAAATGCCTACGTTGCCGACGTTCGTTTTTATATTGACAGCTGTGTCGAATTACATTGAATATTGTACTGAGTTATAAAATTTTGTTAAAAAATCCAAATTTTGAATGTGTCAGGACAATTCTTAGATGATCAGGAGTGATGTGTCAAAGTTTCGGACAGTTTGGTCTAATACCCTTAAAAAAAAGTGTTGTATTCGAATCGACTGATTTGAAGGGTGTTTCACTTCACCTTAAAGCGAAACCGTGTTGTAGGAGGGCTACCTGTATAAGCGAGAAAGATTAAAGTATAAAAAGAAGAATTAAAATACAAATCCTTTGTCTGTACTAAAGGACGAAAGGAATTCAGACGTTCTAAGAAGTTCAGGTTTCGTGGAGCTTGATGGTTACAAAAACTGGGTATTCTTCATTCCTTGTCCTTCTTGAGCCTAAATGAGTGAAACGAGAATATGTCTCTTCATGTAGTAGTAACAGAAATGAGCTCGAAGCAATACCTTGCCGATTAGTTTTTGAAATCCACATGTTTCACAAAGTTTCTACTTCTATGAATAATCTACGTTCATATAAATTCTGTTGACGCGAAATCCAAATTTTCGGCATATAGCATTTGAAACTAACGCACTTAAGTCATAATGACCTCCCAGTGAACACTGTTATGTTAGGTTGTCCCATAAGTTTCTTCCCTTTTTTTCATAGGACATGAATACACGATGCGGAAGGAACTTATGGGACAACCTAATATAACTGTTGGGTAAATGTTACGTTTTCGAAACTAACATGTTATGTAGCATAAAAGTAACATGGAAGTTAGATGTTAGTTATTATTTCCCACTCAGTAAGGTAACATGTTATAGGGTAAGTCCGGGATAGTTGGACCATGTTTTTTTAAAGTCATTTTTTCTGAAACTTCGCAATGTCTAAGATTTGGTATATTTTTGTATAATATGTATATATGACCTTGAACAATTGTAAGCACTTCTCCAGCTGTTACACTAATCACACTTGAACTTATGATTTTTTCTTTTTTTTACTCGGTAGTCCATCTATCCCGGGGGTACTCGGGTTAGATGGACCACCTCCTAGGGATTGGCGATTACTCAATATCAGTTACAGACGCTAGAATTGTTTATCGGCAATGCGTGAGATTAATTTAGCTATACATATGCGTACATACATTGAGAGATCAGTTGTACTTAACTTTGTTTCATATTTAAATATTTTTAGTTTATCATTGTGTATTGCAGATGTGAGTTCCAAACGAGGAGTCATAAAAGCAACACTCTCGTGACTCATTTCAACATCTTTTATGAGGCAAATTTGCTGGAAATTTTGCATTACTTTATCTAGCTGCGATAATAAACGAGTGGACGATCGACCGGAAGATGTTTCTATTTTTTAACTGTACGTGAAAATAATTAATAATCAAACCTTAAATGAGAAGGTAAAGTAAACTTATTCCTGATATCCGCGCGTCTGTCCCCAAACAATGGCGCGTCGACGGTCAGTACGAGAGCCTTGAATCCTGCATTTTCCGCTCTTTGTACCAAATTAAGCGTTATGTTTCGATCGGTGTAAACGTAAAGCTGATACCATTTTATAGTATTCGGAGCAGCTTGGCTGACTTCTTCGATGCTAGACGTCGACAACGTGGACAGCATAAAAACTGTCCCCGCCGCGCCAGTTGCTGAAAATCAAGAGAATTATTAACGTAAAAACATACCATCGATAAATCCGATTGTCATGTTATTTAAAAACGATTTTTCACTTGGAAATTGATAAAGGTATTCCTTTCCGATCAGAGAGTGCCGCATCTATACACGCAGAAAAAGAATTGGGTTCATTGAACAAAGTCATTCGATTGTTTTGCATTTTATTTGTTTCAGAGAACGTTTCGGTTGAGTGAACCCAATTTTATTTCCACTTGATCAAATTTATTTATGTCAATCAACTAAAATGTCTTGATTCATTCAAATTACTGATATTTGGTGTGGTCTACCACAACATTTGATGTAATCAACCAAAAGTTATGAACCAAAGAGTTTTGCCGTATCAACCAAATGTGTGGTTGTCCATAGAATAAACATATTTTATGGTTGAACCAAAAAAAAATTTACTGATTTAACTATATATTCGTAGAATCCCTATACGATTGAGAATATTTAAAATCTCTTTGTTGTCCTAATTTTTGCCTTGGCAATTTTTACCCTTGTTAAGGTGATACGAAAGGGTAATTCTATATATATATATAACGTCAAAATATTTATAAAACTTATCCCTAAACTGAGTGCACCGAATCATTTGAAACTTCAGTATGTGATTATGAACGCCCTAAGAAAGAACGCATCGCTCGCAAAATTTCATTTTTCACAAAAAAATAGTGATCTTGATTCTAATCTAGACTAAATAAAACAAATTTGTTTTAAAAATGAATTTTCACGAGCAGTGCGATTTTCTTTAGGACCTCCGTGATCACGTGTTAAGGTGAAGTGAAACACGTCGAGGAACTTGATCGACGTCGATAAAGAAGATTTTTCTAAATGCCTACGTTGCCGACGTTCGTTTTTATATTGACAGCTGTGTCGAATTACATTGAATATTGTACTGAGTTATAAAATTTTGTTAAAAAATCCAAATTTTGAATGTGTCAGGACAATTCTTAGATGATCAGGAGTGATGTGTCAAAGTTTCGGACAGTTTGGTCTAATACCCTTAAAAAAAAGTGTTGTATTCGAATCGACTGATTTGAAGGGTGTTTCACTTCACCTTAAAGCGAAACCGTGTTGTAGGAGGGCTACCTGTATAAGCGAGAAAGATTAAAGTATAAAAAGAAGAATTAAAATACAAATCCTTTGTCTGTACTAAAGGACGAAAGGAATTCAGACGTTCTAAGAAGTTCAGGTTTCGTGGAGCTTGATGGTTACAAAAACTGGGTATTCTTCATTCCTTGTCCTTCTTGAGCCTAAATGAGTGAAACGAGAATATGTCTCTTCATGTAGTAGTAACAGAAATGAGCTCGAAGCAATACCTTGCCGATTAGTTTTTGAAATCCACATGTTTCACAAAGTTTCTACTTCTATGAATAATCTACGTTCATATAAATTCTGTTGACGCGAAATCCAAATTTTCGGCATATAGCATTTGAAACTAACGCACTTAAGTCATAATGACCTCCCAGTGAACACTGTTATGTTAGGTTGTCCCATAAGTTTCTTCCCTTTTTTTCATAGGACATGAATACACGATGCGGAAGGAACTTATGGGACAACCTAATATAACTGTTGGGTAAATGTTACGTTTTCGAAACTAACATGTTATGTAGCATAAAAGTAACATGGAAGTTAGATGTTAGTTATTATTTCCCACTCAGTAAGGTAACATGTTATAGGGTAAGTCCGGGATAGTTGGACCATGTTTTTTTAAAGTCATTTTTTCTGAAACTTCGCAATGTCTAAGATTTGGTATATTTTTGTATAATATGTATATATGACCTTGAACAATTGTAAGCACTTCTCCAGCTGTTACACTAATCACACTTGAACTTATGATTTTTTCTTTTTTTTACTCGGTAGTCCATCTATCCCGGGGGTACTCGGGTTAGATGGACCACCTCCTAGGGATTGATGGACCTCTGGTATACGTTACTAAATCAGGGTGTAACACAAGAAAGTCATGTTATCAAAGGTATGGACATTGTTTATTTCAAAGTATAAAGGTATAAACTGCTTGAAAAGTGATTAGTATAGAGTTATAAACTATTTGAAAAAGGATAAGTAAATTTGATAGTCAATGTACTTAGAAAATATAGGTAGTCTGATTTATATTCACATGGTTCAAAACATTTAATCATTCCGCAGTCATCTTCTTTCCATTTCCATTTATCCATCCATCCATCCATATATCCATTTATATAGAAAGTAAAGCCCTAATAGGAGATATGGCCCGCCTATCCCAGGTTTTTTCAAGTAGTCCATCTATCCCAATTGTCGGGGATAGATGGACCAGCTTCCCGTCCAGACAAACAACGCTACCGGCATGCCATTTTAGGTTAAGATTGTACTCAAGTATACACTTGAGTTATAGGATTGATCTTACGTCGAAATCATTTAAACTAACTTAACCACATATCAAATAAATCCAGTATAAAATATTTTTCAACTCACCAAAAGAAATAAACAAAGTTTTCTTCTAAAATACGCATGAAACTCATGAGCAAAATTAAGTGTGGTTCCGTCTACTCAAGAAGAACAACTTCAGACAACGACTGCAGCGCTGCTGCGACACCCCAGCCAAATATTCGACTAGTCCGTCTATACCGGTGGTCCATATATCCCGGACTTACCCTATTAATGTTATAATTTCAGTTACCTTAAAATAATGTTAATTCTTCAAACATTTAATAAAAAAAAATTACTCAATTTTATCCAAAATTATATAATTTTTTTCATTATTAATTACTTTTTGATACTTGACAAAAGTTAGATATTATATGACAGATCAGACCTTCAATGAAATTATGTAATGATAAACTATCTGATTTTACTTAAAGACTATTATGATTCCATTCGACTAGCAAACAATTACTGATAATGTATATGCGCAAATGCACGAATTAAAGTCACATTTTTTCATACAAGTAGTAAACAAAATATGACATATATTAATATTATGACATTTGACGATAATTATGACAATGACGATGACGATGATGTAATAAAATAGATGACAGCACCGATGTAGTTCTGTTTTCCTAAAAATATGTGCTGCATATACACGGTAATATTAGGACAGTAACATAATGTAAGATAAGAGTAACAAAGTTACGCTACATTTATGTAGATATGATGCTAGCAAATATTATGTAACCCGTTAGCTCCATGTTACATAACTGTTAAGTTACTGAATTGTAACAAATGTCATGTAACTAGTAAGGTCTATGTTACGTAACTGTTAGGTTATTACATTGTAACAAACACTGAACACTGTTATGTAACTGTTAGGTAAATGTTACGTTTTCGAAACTAACATGTTATGTAGNGTTTCACTTCACCTTAATACATTATCAGTTTCACAAATTAATTTTACCCACGCACTTTCTTGAACGCTCTATTAGCATAAAGATTTTAAAAGAAAATATGAAACTTACGATTCTTTCGAAAATATTCATCTATGAAAATATTGCGTTCGGATATGTACGTATGATTTTGAAATAATGACCCACTGAACACCAAACCTAGCAGTTACGTAACTTAAAATTAACAAATAACATAACGTTTAAAAACTTTAGTTTAATAACAACGAAGTATACAAGACAAATAAGCATTACTTCAAGAATTTAATATTTCTGTTTGAATAACATTCGACCCAGTTTTCGTGATACCTTACACGCTACGAAATATGAAATAATATTTCAAGATTTAATTGTTATTTTTATAGTTTGTTTACAACATTGCACATGAACATTGTTAAAGATTCCGAATCATGTCATAAAACCTACGCAATTCTATTAAGGTGATATAAAAGGGTCGTTATATATATATAAAACGTCAAAATATTTATAAAACTTTTCTCCAAATTGGACGCACCGAATAATTTGGAACTTTAGCACGTGATTATAGAGATCCTAAGAAAGAACTCGATGCTCATGAGATTTTACTTTTAAAAGAAAATATGTATTCTTGGTTCTAGTCTGGGTAAAATAAAAAAATTTGTTATCAAAAATTAAATTTCATGAGCACCACGTTCTTCTTGAGGGCCTCCATCATCACCCCTAGTAGCACAAAATATTTGTCCTATATTTTCTATATATTTACCCACTGAACACCAAACCTAACAGTTACGTAACTTAAAACTAATAAATAATATAACGTTTGTTACAATATAATAACCTAACAGTTACGTAACATAGAGCTAACTAGTTACATGCCATTTGTTACAATGCAGTAACTTAACGGTTATGCAACATGGAGCTAACGGGTTACATAACATTCGTTACTATCATATCTATATAAACGTAGTGTAACTTTGTTACTCTCATCTTACATTATGTTACTGTCCTGATATTACTGTGGATATGCAGCACATATTTGTAACAAAACAGAACTGCATGGGTACTAACTGTTATTTGCTTTATTACATCATCGTCGTCGTCATTGTCATAATTCATCGTCAAATATCATAATATTAATATATGTCATAATTTGTTTACTACTCGTATGAAAAAATGTGATTTTAATTCTTACGGGCATGTACATTATTAATAATTGTTTACTAGTCGAATGAAATCATAATAGTCTTTAAGTAAAATCAGATAGTTTATCCTTACATAATTTCATTGAAAGTCTGATCTGTTATTTAATATCTAACTATTGTCAAGTACGAAAAAACAATTAAAAATAAAAAATTATATAATTTTGGATAAAATTGCATGATTTTTTTTATTAAATGTATGAAAAATGGACATTATTTTAAGCTAACTGAAATTATAACATTAATATAACATGTTACATAACATGTTACCTTACTGAGTGGGAAATAATAACTAACATCTAATTTCCACGTTATTTTTATGCTACGTAACGTGTTAGTTTCGAAAAGGTAACATTTACCCAACAACAACTTATATAACACTGTCCACTGGGTTGAAATTTGTTGAACGGGCAAAGCATAAAGAACAAAGCATAGTAGCGACATTCGCAGCGACTTGTCGAATAAATGCTCACATGGTCCGAAATCGATTAATCAGCGTCGACTGCTCGTGATATATCTGTAATCACCCAAGGTCATCTAAATACGCAAATGGTTCCATTTCATATGGTGACGAAAAATTGACTCCTCTACCCAAGATATTGGCTTTAGATACATTTTTTAATCACCCAAGGTCATCTAAATACGCAAATGGCTCCATTTCATATGATGAAGAAAAATTGACTCCTCTACCCAAGATATTGGCTTTAGATACATTTTTTAATCACCCAAGGTCATTTAAATACGCAAATAGCTCCATTTCATATGGTGAAGAAAAATTGACTCTACCCAAAATATGGCTTTAGATACATTTTTTAATCACCCAAGGTCATCTAAATACGCAAATGGCTCCATTTCATATGGTGAAGAAAAATTGACTCCTCTACCCAAGATATGGCTTTAGATTTTGCGACGTTGAAATCGGACTTTCTATTTCATTATTTGCTCCTTAATGTTTTTAATAACGGAGAGTAAATCCGGCTTAGCTCGGTAGCTAGAAATCCCGTAAAAGCGTTCCACTTCACTTCTAACAGTTTTTAGCCTGTCATTCTTGAAGTTCTTAATACGAATGAATCGTACGCATGATTTGTAAACTATTACGAGTACGATCGTAAGCATAACGAAGCCGAAGGTATTTTTAAAGTGCATCGACAAGGACGTTGGAGAGGATGAGGACGTTGAACGCTCGTTCGCGTGGATTGGTTGATATGTCGCCACGTGACCACGTCTAACCAATGAAGCGCGACGGCTGCACTTGGCCGTATCCGTTATCATCCGTTATCGCCCACGGGTATCGGCGGTAGGTCGTTAAGCGGCTCCGTTTGACAGTCGTCGAGGCAAAAGAACTCGTTCGGCTGTCAAACTAGCGGCAGCATGCCGGTTCGGAAAACAGTCTGGACCAAGGCGAGGCGATCGTGCCTACCGGCGCCATAGACGACGAGAAAAGCGAGAAAAGAATGAGGTTAACTTTTCATAGATAAGGTACAAAACGTGGAGCTTATCCACTCGTAAAGGATATTTTCACGGTTGGCTTGTGAACCATGCAAGAATCACGATGATGAGACGCAATGTAGTTAGTGTGATTAAGTTTATTTTTTTGGCGGCATTCACGGTACTCCTGACAGTGGTAGTGTTTCGATATATGAGAAGACCTCGGCCCTACAGTGGTAATTCTCTGAGTTTGCCTCTACAGAGTGGAGCTGGATCGGAGCTTGATTCCGGTCGATTGGATTCTGACAAAGGGCAAAATGTTGCTTATTTCAAAGAGACGGAGGTAAGTTTAGTCATAGAATGCTCGATAAGGTTAACCGTGGGGAACCGAATACTCTTTTAAATGTAACAAAAATTCAAAAAACTTTCTTGCAGGACGTCGATGGGAAGATCGACTGGCACGATTATAAAAAGATTCAAGAGGATAAGAAAAGAACGGGAATGGGCGAACAAGGAAAACCATCTTTTCTCTCCCCTTCGGAAGATTTATTAAAAGAAAAACTTTATCAACTTAATGGATTCAATGCCGCGCTTAGCGATGCGATATCTGTAAATCGATCCATTCCCGATATCAGGCATCCAGATTGCCATAGGAAAAAGTACTCAAAGAAACTTGACTCGGTTTCTGTAATTGTATCGTTTCATAATGAACATTTTAGCACTTTAATGCGAACTTGTTGGAGCGTGATTAATCGATCGCCTGCCTCGTTATTACATGAAATTATTTTGGTGGATGATGCTAGTACGAGGACAGAACTAAAGAGCAAACTGGATGAATACGTGGTAAAACATTTGCCCAAAACGAAGATAATCCGGTTACCAAAGCGTTCCGGACTCATTAGAGGACGTTTAGCTGGAGCAAAGAATGCTCAGGCTAAGGTTTTGGTATTTCTAGATTCTCATAGCGAAACAAACGTAAATTGGTTGCCTCCTCTGTTGGAACCGATAGCTCAAGACTATAAAACGTGCGTCTGTCCCTTTATAGATGTAATTGCCTATGAAACGTTTGAGTACAGAGCACAAGATGAAGGAGCCAGAGGTGCTTTCGACTGGGAACTTTACTACAAAAGACTGCCATTACTTCCCGAGGATCTGAAGAAACCTACGGAACCGTTTAAAAGCCCCGTCATGGCTGGTGGATTATTTGCTATCAGTGCCAAATTCTTTTGGGAGTTGGGAGGATACGACCCTGGTTTAGACATATGGGGAGGCGAACAGTATGAACTATCTTTTAAAATTTGGCAGTGTGGAGGACAAATGTACGATGCTCCCTGCTCTCGAGTTGGACATATCTATAGAAAATTCCCACCATTTCCTAATCCAGGTCGTGGTGATTTTCTGGGGCGTAATTATAAGAGAGTTGCGGAAGTATGGATGGATGAGTATGCAGAATACATCTACCGCAGGCGACCTCACATGCGATCGATAGATCCTGGCAATCTAACTGAACAAAAAACGCTACGAAAGAAACTTCATTGCAAACCGTTCAAGTGGTTCATAGAAAATATTGCTTTTGATCTCATTGAGGTATATCCACCCATAGAACCAGATGACTTTGCTCATGGTGAGATTAGAAATATCGGAGTTTCGGAACTTTGTCTTGATTCTACGAACAAAAAGAAAGACGAAGCAATTAAAGTGTTTTTTTGTAAAAAAGATAATCCCTTGATATCTAGAGATCAAGAATTCCGACTTACGTGGCACAAGGACATCCGACCAAAAAGCAGAACCGATTGCTTAGATGTTTCTAGAGGAGATCCTAAAGCTCCTGTAACCCTTTATCCTTGCCATGGCAAACAAGGAAACCAATTATGGCGCTACGACGTTTCGAAACAATGGTTGATCCATGGATATACACCAAGGTGCCTGGATGCTGATCCAGCTAGCAGGAAGGTCTTTGTAACTGCCTGTGATCCATCCTCCACTACTCAAAAGTGGAGAATAGAAGTTGTTAACATGAAAGCGATCAATAATTGGGACAACGTGGGACCTAAAGTTTAATTGTTAACAGTTTTATCGCAATCACGCATATTTTCTCTCAAAAGCAAGCCCTTTCGTGACAGTGAGGGGACTTATCGTGATGGTTTAGAAATAATTCTCTATAATTATAGTTTCTATTCAGTTATCATCCTATCGGAAAGTTGACTAGTCATTATAGATCATCGAGGACTCAAAGTGAACAAATTTTTAATGATATCTTCAGGTTAGAAGTCTTCGAACAGTCACCAGAGATTTTCCTAGATTTTACACATTAAGTTCCTTGTGAGCTCTTTACGATAATTATGTGTTACATGTCACTCTACTAGTTTTTAGTAGACAAGACTAATATCAATCGATCGATAAAGATAGTCATATTCTTGTATTCATAACCTGAACGCGTAGAGACAACGAACTTTGGTGCAATAACAAATTTTATGTCAAACGCGAATCTCTTTCCTGACAGAAATCGCTTTTAATCCTTTCAATGTAAATACTGTATACATGATCTGTTGTGCCTTAAATCCATTATCAATGTAGTATCAAGGATGCAAACATTGCGTGCGTTGAATTTACGGTGAAACTGATCCAACGCTCGATTAAATTTAACAGATTCATTTACCCAGTTAATGGGAATTGACGTACAAGCTTAGTATGAAATATAATTTTAAGATTTCTAAATATGTCAGCAAAAAGATTCTGCTATATATTAAAATCGTTAAAAACTTGATTAATTCAAGTAATACAATAGTAGAGGACAAATGTGTATCATTAAAGAGAAATAATATGGTGTGGGCTGTGTTCGAATTTTTTATCAAGTGAAACTACTAATAAGCTACGTGTAGAATGAACTGGCAAATACGCCTTTACAATTACTTATCTATTACAGTTGACGGTATCATTAGTTTACGTTAAATAAGAGCAACGATCGCGGTTAATAATAGTTCACTTTTCGCATTTATATTCCATGAGAGTATTGTTAAGAACATTCTTTAAATAAGTGTTATCAATATCATTCCAGACATTCCGTCTGTTATTAATCGCAACTATTTTTATATTTGTATCATATGATTTCATACATTTTTATAGAAAATACAGTATCTAACTACTCGACTGACTATAAAATCCACTATTCTCCCCCGATTATCTTATCACAGGCACGTTTCAACGATAATGAATTTTTGTTAACTTTCGTCTTATCGGAGCACTTTTAACATGCTTATGTTTGTGTATCAGTAAAATAGTCAACCGTTTGCTCAAACCAAGTGCGTTGTGTAGACTCGTACCAAAGTTTTATAGTTGGAAGTGCGAGTTTACACTCATTATGCCTTGACATTGTACAATGAAATCAACATTATTAACTTCTAAAATATACCTCTAGCGTTGGCACATTCTCCTTCGGGATGAGCCATACGTTGCATCGCCGTGGGAGAAACGCCCACAGGCATGGCAATTTTTTCTCCCAAAACTGTGGTGCTGATATCCCGTTTAGATACATCTCTAAGCACTCTAGGTCGAATTCTATATCTGTTGGAGAATAAACAAAGAATTGTGCAAAAATTAAACAATGACAGCTTTGACGAGAGGAAAAACTATATGAAGTTATTACGATAAATAGAATTTATTGCGTGCACGGTATCAATTGAAACATTGATCTTAAGCGGCTCTTCCGCGAATCATTAAACTGATAAAAGCAAAATAATCTCAATAGATCCTGGAAACCATATGCCCAGTGGACACTGTCATATAACTGTTGGGTAAATATTACGTTTTCGAAACTAACATGTTAAGTAGCATAAAAGTAACATGGACGTTAGATATTAGTTATTCCCCACTCAGTAAGGTAACATGTTATGTAACATGTTATATTAATGTTATAATTTCAGCTACCTTCAAATAATATCAATTTTTCATACATTTAATAAAAAAAATCACGCAATTTTATTCAAAATTATATAATTTTTTTATTTTTAATTGTTTTTTCGTACTTGACAATAGTTAGATATTAAATAACAGATCAGACTTTCAATGAAATTATG